AAAAAAAAAAAAAAAAAAAAAAATCTTTGCTTAAGGTTCAAGCTTCTTTTAACAAATACCATTTCATTTTAATATAACATGTATTGCCTCAAATCTGCCCTTTTTGTTAGAAATCAAAGTCAAAAGAAGTTGGTAAGGAGCTAACCTAATTATAGTAACCAATGGGACTGATTCCACACTAAAAGTCTTTGATCAAAAATGAAATGAGGACCAACTGCTAAACTAGGGTGTTTAAATCACCAATCTGTATTCTGACTTAGTTTAAGGTAAGGTGAAAACTGGTTCTCTTCCTCTTGCATCCCCATTCCATCATTCAGAATAGATAATCCTGGTACCTACTTCTCACTAAGTAGCTACAGGTACAGGTCATGTGCTGTGGCTGATGCCTGTAATCCCAACACTTAGGGAGGCAGAGGTGAGAGGCTAGCTTGACACCAGCCTGGGCAACACAGCAAGATCCCGTTCTCCACAAAAAGGAAAAAGATGTACTAAAGAAAAAAACAGCTATTGGTTTAATATTGCCAATCTGAGTAGCCAAGTGAAACATCAAACAGAAATGAACAGTGGTACCTCCCTACTTCTAAGAAAAAAACCATAAAATTAGCACTAAGAGAGGGTAAAAAAAACTAAATTTTAAGCCAACCTTATACTCTAGGTGTATTACTAGGAAAACCTCCTTATCGATAACTAAATAACCCTTTGCTTTAAAGAGCAGAGAAATCCTTTTTGATACAAAATCTAGTAAAACCCCTTTCCAATTAAGACTCTTCCTAAACATATCACCTAATACAGCGTTAAGTCCATTTTTCGAAGAGACTGTGAAAGGAACTTTTGTGTACTTTATCTGGTGATTTTCAATGTTCAGGTTTCTTCCTCTACCTTTGCCAATGTACAGCTTTTCTATTAGATCCAATCCTGCAAAACGGAAGTGTTAGTTTCTAACTACGTATAGCAACCTCAAGAAATAAAATGATTCTCCCTCTACTTCCCTCCTCCTTCATAAGTCAAGGTTTTTGTTTGTTTTTTCTTTCTGAACTTCCAACTCTTAACAGTTTCTGAACAAGTAGGATGGACCGATGTGTGCTGCCACCCAAGAGGTAAGTGAACTCAAGAGATACTTGTGGATCGGGCAAAACGGCTTCCTCCGTCTGCCTGAACTCAGGCGGTTTTGTGGAGGGAGCTAGGGCAGGTGTGGGAGGAGGGAACAGGAATGGGGCGAGAAGCCCTTTCGATCTCTTGTCGAAGGGGCCGTCCAACGCCCCAGCGCCCCCCACGGACCCAACCCCGCCATCCTGGCCGGACAATGGCCTTCAAGCGCAGCGGCAGTTCCAGACTGGAGAGAGGCCCTGGGAGTCCGCACCATGCGGGCCTGGAAGGGCAGCAGAGGAGGAACGCTGAGGCCGCGAGAGCACCTCCGGCCTAAGCGCGGGCTGCGCGCCGTGGCCTCCACGGGCGCCATCACTGGGAGTGGGGTATGGAGGCCTCCCCGCGGGGCCAGCACCGGCAGCGGGACCCAAGGAGGCCGCGAGCCCGGCGAAGACTACGGCGGGAAGTGCAGGCCGCAGCCTGCTCAGTCCGCCAGCGCCGCGGCCGACCTCCGGCCCCTTACCTTGTGGATTCTCTTCAGAGCCATGGTGTGAGGCGGGTGGCGGCGGCCCCCGGGGCGGGGACGGGGGCGGGGAAGGGACGGGGAAGGGGCTAGGGAGCCTGAGGCCGCCTGGGCGATCGCGCTCGGCCGGAGAAGATGGAGAGTTCAGGACAGCGGGTCTGGTGGGACCGGCTGAGGGCCGGGGCCCACTCCGCTCCTGGGCCTGCCGCAGCGGTCACCGCATCACCCGGCGGCGGCCCCTTTATTCGCTGCCGCCCCAGCCGCCGCCGCCGCCGCCGCCGTAGCTGTTTCTTCCTCCCAGGATCAGCGCCGCCTCCTCAGCCGCCGCAGATCCCTCCGCCGGGAAGCAAAAGCCCAAACCTCGGGCTCAGCCGGCGCCTCTCAGTTGAACAGTCAGAGGGACTGCCTGCTTTCCTGTCTGCCTGCGGCAGGTGGACCGAGGGACGCGCTGGCGGGCGAGCTGCACCGCCGGGGTGGAGCCGCCGGAGCACGGGGTGGGCCTGGCCGAGGGGCAGGTCGGGAGGCGCGGGGATTGGCGGGCCGGGGGAGGGAGGGCCGAGCCGCGCCGGCGGCGGAGGGATACGGGCCGCCCCTGTGAGTAAGCTACGCGCCGCCGCCGGCGCCGCCGCCGCCGCCGCCACGGCCGCGAAGGGGATGACGCTGCGAAGCGCTGGGAGGAGATATCGCGAGATCCATGGCGCGGGTTCTGCAGGCTCCCGCGCTGTGACCCTTGGGTTCCTTACTGATGGGAACCCCCGCGCGTGTCACAAAAGATCAATAAACATTAAAAGGCAGATGTCCAGATCGCACGACCGTCCCCGTACCAGTCCCAGGGAGAGGCACTTAGGCCCACTGCAACATTCCTGAAGAAGGGACTTAGCCAAGGTCACACAGCTCTTCTGAAGTCCTGGGACTTAGCAGATCTCTTTCCAGAGGACACGTGGCTACAGCTCGGGTACCCACCAGGTGCCGCGCGGGTTGCAGTGAGATTGCCCTTCTGGACCAAGGACCCAAATGGAGAAGATTTGAATGTTATGTTCTTCTCAGCCAGTAGCATGCCTGCCTTGGGGGTGCCGAGACCCTACTCAGCTTAGTGAATTGCGAATTGTTACAAGCAAGCACTGTACCAGCTGCGTCAGAAAAAAAGATCACAGTGTGTGCCCCAATAGTTAAAATCGGCCGGGTTTATATTCTGGGATGATATCCCAGAACTTTCGGAGGCCGAGGCTGGTGGATACAAAAATATCCACTGCACAGATTTTTATTTATGTATTCTCAATAATAACTTTTGTATTAGAAAAGCTGCTGGACACGCCTGTAATCTGAATACTTTGGGAGACTGAGCTGGGAAGATCACTCGAGCTCAGGAGTTCCAGAGCAGCCTGGGCAACATAGTGGGACCTCATCTCTACAGAAGATTGTAAAAATTAGCCAAGCATGGTAGCGCACACCTGTGGTCCCAGCCACTTGGGAGGCTGAGGTGGGAGGATAACTTGAGCCTGGGTGGTCGAAACTGCAGTGAGCCATGATGGTACCACTGCGCCCCAGCTGAGGTGACAAAGCAAGATCCGGTCTTTAATAAAAAAGGAATATATGGCCGAGCGCGGTGGCTCACGCCTGTAATCCCAGCACTTTGGGAGGCCGAGGCGGGTGGATCACGAGGTCAAGAGATCGAGACCATCCTGGTCAACATGGTGAAGCCCCGTCTCTACTAAAAATACAAAAAATTAGCTGGACATGGTGGCGTGTGCCTGTAATCCCAGCTACTCAGGAGGCTGAGGCAGGAGAATTGCCTGAACCCAGGAGGCGGAGGTTGCGGTGAGCCGAGATCGCGCCGTTGCATTCCAGCCTGGGTAACAAGAGCGAAACTCCGTCTCAAAAAAAAAGAAGGAATATATATTTGTGACAAGACATACCTACAAGTAAAAGGAAGGAAATAAAAGCCACCCACACTCTCATCATCCAGTAATTAACCACTTTGACATTTGGTTAATGTCCTTCTAATCTTTTTTCTTCTTACATATAAGTATTAATACATGTTTTTCTTTGAAAAATGTGGGGTCACTGCATAATACTGTTTGGTAATCTACCCTGAAAGTAAACAATAGATCATAAATTTTCCTGTTTCAAATATTTCTACCTTATTTTAATGGCTGCATATCCTAGCATATAAATGTACCTTTTTTTTTTTTTTTTTTTTTTTT